TGGTCAGCGATGATCGGACCCATCTCTATCTGGCGTGTGTAGATTCCGTCAAGGACGGTTTCCGGGCTGAGAGCGTCTTGGGAACTGAGATGGTTTTGTGCGACCGCCGGTGGTTCATTCGCCGGCCTGGTGGCTGCAGGGATCGGTGGTTCATTCGCCGGCCTGGTGGCTGCAGGGATCGGCGGTTGCATTTCAGCACCCGCAACCACTGCCACCAAGACCTCCTCATGCTCCCGGCCGGGGGGCGCCATGACCTCCCAGTATTTAGTTAAGGCATGCGCAACACCGTACTCCGAAGCCACTGCAGGCCTCGCGAGCTCCTTCAGGCCGGCCATCAAGGCAGTGAGAGACTGTGCGGGGAATCATGGGCTTGGAATCGTGATATACTTGCAATGAGAACGTACAATTGCGTGTACCAGCTTTGTCAGATCTTCGGCGGAGTTTGCGTCCCGCGCGAGACCATGCATAGCTTCGCCGGCCTTTGGCGCAAAGATGTACCTCTGCGCGGTGTCGAGGAGTTCGGTGATAGCAGCTTCCATTATGAATGGCGAACGGGTTGGTGACTGTAGTGGCCGGAAGTATGTTGGAGATGTGGCTGCCAACTGATCGAATCGTGATCCTGCCACAATCTCACGGACGTCACATGATGATGCCGTCATTGCTCCATGGGCCTGGTGTCAGAAGCACTTACCGAGACACGTGGAATAGATTGCCGAGACAGCCAACATTCCGCACAATGCCCACACAAGCCCCCATCGTTTCTATCCCTCCACGTCACATAGCGTGGGCCTGGTCAATGGCCGTGGTACGATTTGCTACGGGGACCCATTGACTTTCACCTGACGACGATCTAATCGCAGATCAACGCATCCCGTGTAGCCCCTCCGCTCCCGGAGACTTTGCAGATTTACGCCAATTCGGTGGCGTGAGTGTTTCCCACGATATGATGTTCAACTTTCAACTGATCTTCCCGGGGCAGACATGTGGCGGTTGTGACGTCCCGGCCAAATAGATATGTCGTAATCAGGCACATCGCAGGGCGGATCGTGTTGTCTGTTACATACAGGAAAGGTGGACCAGCGATGTAATTTACCAGCCGGATAGCCGGCTGGCCGGCATCATGCTGCTATTCGACTGGGTTGAGAGGCGGGACGGCATCATCGAGGCTCTGTAACTGAATCGTTTACGCCAGCCACCTGTCAAATGCTGCCCTGCTTTTACATTAATGGTTTATGGGCATATGGAGAAGCTGTGTGCATCCTCCTGTGACGGCCGGTGACATTGCATGGATGCATGAGACACTGGGCAGTCTTTGACCGCCGAGCCACTCTGAAATGTATCATTGGTTGGTACAGCGCATGGAATGGCGACCAGAGCTGAGAATCCCCCGCGGGGACGGTACCGGTAGCTAGGAAACAGGCGAAGAACGTGTGATCACAGTCGGTGGGCGTGCAGACTCGGCCGGTGTTCTCAATGCCATGTGTACATAGGCCGGGCCCACCTCACGTTATGGGTAAGTGCTCATGCTGTGAGTAAGTGCCCATAATGGCTTCCTCCTTCGAAGATCTATTTGCATGAGTTAGCCTCTTACTTGTAGACCAAACCCTTGCTTCCTCGCACGCACCGCATTGCCGGCCGAGTGTTCCTCCGAAACGCCCGGCCTGCAGATGCCCTGTTTACACGTGTCCCACTTCCCACCACAAACCAATTCGGTGCTAAAACTTGTTGGCCTACTAATGCTATATATCTGTGGTCCGCCGATCATCCTCATGCTGGTCTGGAAACTGATCACAGCCGGCCGGGCGTGTTGCACAAAGTCTCGGCCGGCGGATGCACAGTCTACATCAGTCTGCCAAGGGACCGCAGCAACTCCCGGCGTGGAATGCTGGTAGAAGTTATGATAAGTGGACTTTTGGTCTGCCGTTTATATAGTGGTATCTTCGGCCCCTACAAACAGCTGGCCGATGGATCACATGTACCGGCCGGCCGGCGCATGCGGGTATAGCGCCGCGTTCGGCCGGCCGAATGCTCCTTATTCACACCGCAGCATTGGAATCTATGTACATATCCATAAACGTCTGCTGTGCATCCCTGTGCAGGCGTTCAAACATTGCAGCTCGCCTTCGGCAGTAGGGTCGGAACCCGGGATAGGTCTCGTTATCCTCCACGCCGGCCATGTCCCGCCATCTCTTACTTTCATGAGTGAAGTATCGTCGGACCGAATCCAGTTCACGTTTGAGGAGACCTGCTTCCTCTTGCAGCCGGTCCACCTTTGAGCGTGCCTGAAACCAATGTACGCGATGGACTGCCCAATTGGTCAGTGGGGCTGCGGGCCGGAGAAGGTCGGAGTACTGACTGACTGCTAGGCCATTATCTCCTATGATGTCGCCTTCGACATCAACGTTCCAGACCCAAGACGGTGATTTATGACGCTGGCCGCGTTTATTGGGCTCTGCTATGGCGGTACTTACCTTTAGGTCATCCGGCTGTAGTGGCTGATATTTTCGGCGATCGGCCTCGGTCATGCCCAGAACCAGCATGGCCGCCCGAGCCCTACGATACACTGCGGCCTGGATCTGGACAGCACGATCGAGCTTTGTCATTGAAGTCCATGCTCGGGTACGCTTGGTGTTCCCTTTGCCATGGCGGACACTGGTACGAAACTGGAAGGACTTCTGCCCAAGTAGCACCCGCAGTTGTTGAAGGGAATCATTAGCCTGGCCCCGCCGAAGCACGATTTCCCGACTGGCAAGAAGCGCGATGCCATGCTCCTCGCGCACGTCCATTGGGAGGTTGGATGGTAGGCCGAGGGCCGTCTCTTCAGATATAGCCCGGCTGTAAGGAGGGGGTGGCCGGCTGCTGAACACTGCCCACGGGCTGTTTGGCTGTCGAGGAACAACAGGGCCTTCATCCTCCCACTCGTTATCTTCATCATCCTCGTTATCCGAGCCCTCTCCTACTACGAAGTGGTTGCGCCGGGCAATTTCATGCGCTCGACTGTGGAAGCGGCGAATTCTAGTCTCCAGGTTCTTCCTCTCCTTCCCCAGCTTTAGGAGCTGCGCCCCGGTGGCCTTGTCCCCAATTTGATTTGCGTGTTTCTTCACTTTAATCCTGCCTGGAGTTGAGATTTAAATCGTCATTTATGAGGAGGACACACGCAACTGTATTTCCTCCAGCTTTAGGCCTTCTGCAATCCAGGCCGCAGTGCCAATCGTGGCATCGTCATCGCCTTCCTGCTCTGTCAATTCCAGTTGAAGTGCAGCCTGGGATGGGGCTATGGTCCACATGAGAAGGCCGTCGGCCGGCTGTTCATACACTACTCACCGATCTGTTTTGGAGGTTGGTATCGGTCCATAACCTTTACGTTTCGGAGGCGTTGCCTCTGCGCCGTATCAAGCTCTGCCTTCCAAGCCTGCAGCCGCAGTGGGCTGACACCTGCTTCCTTCGCCGAGAGGTCGCGCTTCATGTCGGCAAGCACCGGCCGATTAGCTTTGATTTTCCGGCGAAGGGATGTAACTGCCCCGGATGTTAGCATGCGCCGGCCGGTGAATGGGACAGAGACGAACCCATCGTGATCATCTTCTTCCAGTTCCAGTCGTTCATGTGCCGATCGAGTGTTTCTTGCCTGTGAGAAGTGGACATGGTTCTTGTACTACCTGATATGCGATTCATGCATGACCACTGCGTCTCAACGATCTCGCCATCAACCTCGCCGGCCCCGATCATGTACGTCGGCGAGAAGCGATACTCGCACTCTGGTTTGTGGCCGTGGACATGAAAGAGGCCTATACACTTGTAGAGGACAAGACGGGGCGGTATTGAAAGGTACGGGCTGTGCTCAAATCGGGCGTTCATGTGCACACCCCACTGACACATGATGTCGTAAAGTACGATGACCCGGGTACACCCTCGCGATCGGTATTTCAGCGCGTTTGACAGAGAATAGTCCATGTTCATCTGGCGCTCTCCCTTCTGGAAGTTCACCACTGAATGTGGTACAAAGCACCCATGCCTGGAACAGGCCGTCGCACCTATCCCCGTCACGGCGAGCTTGTGCCTGTCGGCATTGGCTTGGGATACAGCCTTATGATCGTTACATGTAGATTTCTATGACACGCGCACTTAGCGTATTTCCTCCGCCATATTGACCTTTACTCACCACGACGACCTCTTTGGCCACTTTGAGATGCTCGGCGTACGGGGTAGGATTGACCATGAACATCTTGCCTGGCATGAGTGGCACATCATTCCCCGGCACACGCATCTTCATTTGCTCAGCGTGGAAATTGCCGTCCATCGCATATCCACGCGCGTACAAGTACCTTGACATTGAGTTAGCGTTCGCCGGCCGGTGGTTGCAAGCCACCTACTCTCTGTCGTCGACCTGCCAGTCATCAGGTATGTTAATACCAGGCTGCGGACAGGCCGCACAGAAATGCGCCAAGTCCCCGTCGCCCGGCGGTCCACGCCAGGCCGGGCCATATCCAAACTCCTTCTTCGCCTGCAGCAGTGTCCACTGCCGGCTGACCCTCGCAAGCTCTCGGTAGCGATCCTAGTGTTTAATTTAGCATCATCGCGTGTTTTCTATTGTAATAGGCTCACAGGGACCTCATGCGGGAATAGTGGGTCTGTCAGCCGGCGTATTCGGCGATAATAATTCATGGCGGTGGTTTTACACTCCAGATTATCCAGCAGGAAGTCATCCAATACCTGGAACGTGAAGCAGGTCCTCGCCTCACGCTGACTGGCGGGATAGAGGCCACAATCGAGCATCTGTAACGTATGACTCTTCGCGCCCAGACAGCCGCACCATCGCACAGGTAAATAGTGGACCCCGGAGGTGTCAACGATCGTCATCATGGCGGCCGGGGACGAGGAGGTGGATCGGCATCGCGAAGCGGGTCGTCCTCGGTGTCTTCTAGGTTCTCCTCATCTTCCTCCGTCTCATCCTCAGCATCTGTTCCACCCCCATCCTGCTGGCCCACGGCCTCCTGGGCGAGGGGGCACTCGCCACCCCGATGGCCTAGATTGATGACTACGCCGACGTCGCGCAGCCATGCCGGGGCCCAGTACCCATCCAGTTTCCACCGCTCGACACGATGAAAAGGTGTCCGGCGATGTGAGGCCAAGCAGCAAGACGCGCAGTAGATGGGCCATCCGATACAAGATAGGCACTTCCAGACTCCTCCGCCGGTGTTACAACCAGAGCAGATGAAGCCCCCGTCAGCACCAGTGGTTGGGTGTTCGCACTGGGCATAGACGGCTTTCAAATAGTCGTGTTGGAGGGGAATCCACTCCCGGAGCATGTCGGGTTGGGTCTGGCGAATTGAATCAGAGTCCGCGCTGCCCCCCAAATATGACATCAAGTACCTGTGGGGCTGCCTTTCGAACGTCCAAAAAATCGAATATGTTGTGTCCAACGGGTGGGCTATCATGACGAAGAGAGCTTGTGTCTTGGGTTGATGTTCGAGTGCTCCGATGCGGCGTTGGCGGAGGGGTTTGCAAACCTTCATTCCGCACTTGCACCAGCCGCGTTTTCACACCTCGAGTGGTACGGGTCCTACTAAATGCAAGCTCTACCACGCTATGTGAGCTCGCTCTGGGCTTGAGCCTCACCATAGAGAGAATATGTCAGGAAGGTCACTGAGCTGAGGCAATGTGATTCACGGTCCGGCCGGAGGACTCTGAGTCGCGGGGCGGCAGCAGACAAATGAGGGGCAACAGTCAACAAATGCTCACAGAGTCCGATATTTTTCCCTGTCACGACACTCAACGAAATGCAGCAGGTCACGCAATGGTGCGGCCGGTCACTTCCCGAGTTCAACGGGACCGGGTATCGACAATCATATCTGGGGGACGATCTGAACAGCGATCCACAGTATCCCCGTGGATCTTGGGCCTGAGATTGGGATCGCAATCAGACTCTAGCGACTATCGGAGATCATATCCTACCGGCCGCAGCTCAGTTCCGGGCGTATACAGTCATGCGGCCGGCTTTAGTGTCGGCCCGACCATTCAGCCAGGTCACGTGTCCGGCCCAACCGACGCTGTCGCCGGATGCCTCGGACTAAGGCAGATCTGCAAAGCGATTTGCATGAGTAGCTCCTCGGCCTCGATCAGTGCAGTCGAGAAGCGCAAGTTAGCGCGGTAAGACAATCTGACACCCGCCCCCCCGGCCGCTCGTTGGCGACCGGGCCGGACCGGCCATTATGTTGGGCACGGTTGACCGGGGCAAGTAGAGTGCCAATTCTCGGGGCACCAATCAGATGAAAATATTGGGGGAGTCACAGCGATGTGATTCTCAAGTCCACGCACCCATCTTAATCGGCCGACGTGGCGGCCGGCCATGTTTGCAACGAGCCGGCCGGGGAGTGACCTGCGAGAACCATGTTCACTGTAGACGAGGATACTGACAAATTATACGAGCTATGGGTATCATTTGAAAGCTCTACGTGCGCTGCGTCGTACTGAAATCCTGGGCAAGACGGGATGAAGGCCTGTTGACCATTACTGGCTCAATCACCCTGCGCGTATCTCCCAGACTTTAATAGACGCCGAGGCTTCCTGAGCAACCCAGCACGCAAGTCCTCAACCTTTACTGCATTCAATCGCTTCGTGCAGCCCACTCCACATCCGTGATGGCCCCGACCAGCTTCTGGCAAAAACGCGACATCGTAATCCTCGCCGACAACCTTCAGGACTGGAAGGATGCTGAGGGAGATGATGAACGTCAGGAGGAGCTGGTCAAAAATACCATAGAAAGGCTCCAGGATCTCCGAGATTATCAGTTCGACAGAGAGACTCGAGAGGTACGCAGGGGGACATGACACGAGACACACCTTGCTCACTGTTCACAGCTCGTGGCAAAGTGGTATACGGACCAAAGGGAGGAACGCGAGAAGCTGAGGAAGGAGATGTTCAAGCTAGGGAAGGATGTCAGCTGGCAGACGGTCGCAGCGAGGGAGAGGGAGGGCGACCTTGCGGATATCATCGCTGATCTGGGTCAGGGCAGGGAGAAGGATCCAAAAGTATACTTATCCCTTTACCAGACTGCCCGCTCCAAGCTGTGCAAGGGCATCTCAAAGAAGGAAGAGGAGGACTACCGTGCCACGGCGGACCTATGGAACCGGACAGAGTGGCCGCCCGACCTGCAGCAAAAGACGCTCCTGAGACACGGGACCGACATGGTCCTGGACTTCCAGAGGATTATGTACAGGAAGACCGGGCTGAGGACGTTCATCCTGGGCTTCGTGAAGGCTGACAATGGCCGGCCGGGAATTGTGCAGTACGTATGTGCCTCGGTGTGCCTATTAACTCCCCAAACTAACGGCACCCCAGATTCGACTTCAATGATCAATTACCCATCAACGGAGAAGAAGGCAGGGAACCGCCGAAGTTCGTCGACGCCTACCCGGACTTCAAGCGGGGCCATACGTACGAGATGTGGAAGAAGTATGCGGAAGACGTGATGGGTGAGTGGCCGGGATGCAGCGTCATGGGAAAGGCACTAATACCAATGGTACAAGATGGCGATGGCTTTCCCGCCGACGGGCAACTCGGCGCGGCGCAGCTCATCGCGAATCTCGACTGGGAGCTCGACGAAGACAGGTATCCTCTGCTACCTGACGCCGATCACGAGTGTTTTGCCAAGACTGACACGAAGCGAGCCGTCCTCGGAACGTTCGTTCGTATGACATACAGTGCGTGCCACCTCCTACAGCATTACTACGTGCTTACGACCCGCCGGCCAGGACGGTACACCGGCCGGCCAAAGGCCAAGGTACCCTGGCAATCCTTGTCGGAGGAGTCGGACACGTTCATTGACGAGGCCTTTCTTCCCGCCGGGCATGTTCTCAGTGATCCAAACAAGATGCGGGTTGGTGACCTGGATGCCATCCTGAAGCATTGGCGCGAGCGGCAGGATGACCAAGGTAATCTGCTGGTCTTCAGATTCAAGGCCTGGAGGAACTCGAATCGCGAGGTGGTGGTGATCGACGAGAGCAACGAGGAGCGCTACTCAGACGACGAGAGCTCGTCGAGCGACGAAGAGCCTCCGCCAAAACGGGCGCCGGCCGGCCGGCCGCCTGCCCCGGCCCGGCGACAAAAGCGATCGCCAACGCCAGACAGTAGCGACGCTGAGGCAGAGTTTTTCCAGGGCGGGGACATCGACAAGAGCTACAACTCGTTGTTTGAAGACCCCGCCGGCAGCGATGATGATGACCAAGAACCGTCTCCGCCGCGGCTCACGAAAGCGGACAAGGGCAAGGCCCGGGCCAATGCGGCGAGCCCATCTCGCCCGGCATCTTTTCTGCGCGGTCCGTCCAACGCCACCACCAACCAAGCGGACCGTCCGGCGAAGCCTGCCAAAGATGTCAGCCAGAAGCCGACATCTGCTACCGCTAAGAAGACGACGTTCAGGCCGGCGTTTCCCCCGGGCACTGGTCCCGGCCGCGGCTCAAAGACGAAAGGGGAGAACAAGGGCACGAAGGACAGATCGGCCAGCAATCCCAACACCACGGGTCCGAGTGCTGAGCCCGCCGCCGTGCAGAAGGCGACTGCTAGGCCCAAACCACGTGCGATATTCATCGGTCTTCGACCCATTGACGTGCTCACATTGAACACAGGTCCGCGACGGCAGCCGGCCGCCGAGCCCGATCCCACGGAGGATGCTGCAGAGGCGCCTCCAGATGAACGGCGGAAGGCACGGCGAAGCGACGAGGATCAAACCGCTGGAGCAAGGCCAGCAAAGCCCAAGCCTGGTGAGCGGACAATGTCCTCAGCGTACCGGACAATACACTTACCATAAGCACAGTTCCCCGACACAAGGTCCCTAAGCCCGCGGCCGACGCAGATGGAGCAGAAGGGGCGCCGGTAAATGAATCGAAGGCCGCTCCGGCACGTGGGGCATCAGGAAAAATCAATCTGTCTTTTCCTTACTTATCATGCCATATTATGCGCATTGAAGGCAATTAGCACGCTTAAGAACATGAAGATTGATTTACACAAGTCTACCTTTTAACCGTGTCTATAAAGGTCCCCTAATTCCATTTATGAAGGCTTTAGTTGAATGAAGACCCGTGATGGAGCCCTTTTTCTTTGTACTTAATTGTGCTTTTGCCACTGACTTTGTCTTCAGGGTACTCAAATTATTTACAAATATGCACCTTGTGCATTGGCTGCGACCGAGATGACGATGATATTGGTAAGCTTACAACAATGTTCAGTACTACGCATACAACATGATGATGACACTGCAGTGAAGACTGTGTACAGTAATCATCTTGGACTAGCAGGTCCACAACTGTGAAACCGAGACTCGGAGCAAGTACACGTACCACACAGAGCCTGAGGACAGCGCGAGCAGAGCGAGCGACGTACGAGTGACCTACAAAGGAGGAGTACTAGTAGTACACGAGACCATAAATACTAGAGCTAGATGATTGAATGAGCAATTACTTTGATCATGCAGACGACTGATTGACTTACCTTGGAAGTCTGGAGTCATCAGTTGAACACCATTCTACTAGCCTAGTCAAGCCCCGCCATTCGTGGATGTGCCACTGGCAGGGTCTGGGGAATGCTGAATGGGATCATGTAGGTGACAAGTGACGGCTGAATACTCACCTTCTCCGGACCCGTGGAGTTCATCGATCTCAGCCTGAGCCCCTTCACCGCCCTCGCCAGTGACTCCGACGCCCCCTTCGTCCTCAGTCTCGCCCTGTCCACCCACTTCGCCGCCGTCAGAGCCGTCAGAGTCGCGCCGTCGGTGCTTCCTCCTCGACATCGAAGTCGACGCTCCTGCACCACGAGTCTTCCTCGATGGACTGGGTGGATTCTTCGCCGCCTGTGACGAGTCCTGTGTCTTCGCGCTCTTCGACGAGCTGGACGGCCTGCCCGCGGTCGATGTCGTGGTGGGTTGACTGCCCTTCTTTGCTGTGCTCGACGACGGCTTCGTCGCAGCCTTCGACATGCCGGCGGGCTCGTTGCCGCTGCTCTGCGGCTTTGATGCGCGCAACTGGAGCATCGGGATGAAGCTGCGCGGCTCCTCATCGCTGACCATCGTCACCTCGACTGCGTTGACTGCGTTGGGGCCAGCGTTAAGACGATTGCTGTATGTGTGGTCAGTAAAGATCTCCGTCTGGATCCAGAGCTTACCTGATGTGCTTCCATATGAGCTCCTGCGTCTCTTTGAGGTACTCGCCCGCGCGCTCTTCCAGAGTCTCTAGAATGGCCATTGTACCATCCCACCTATGGCTAGTGAGCATTCACCATTTGCAATCGAACGCAAGAATGACTCACTTGCCCGCGAATAGCTTGCTGGAGAAGAAGATCGACTGGTTGTGCGCCACCACCTCCATCAACGCCGCTTCAATCTATTATACACATCAATCAGTAGCTTGACGTAGGGCAGGAACTCGACGAAGATGAGACGTACCGCGTTGCACGCGAGGGCGATGAGGTTGAAGGGCACCTTGCTGAACTCGTCCAGGGCCGCATTAATGTTCGCATCGCCACGTCCTGCCAGGCCGTAGTACTGGTAGACGAGCTCAGGGATGCATTCGTTTCGGAATGGCTCCGTGGGCTCGACCCTGGTACGCTAGGATCGCAGTGAGTTCGCTCTGATGTGCTGACCCTGTGTGCACACGTACCTCTCGATCCAGGTTTTTCTTCCGGTCGAAGTGATACTCTACGCCCCCGAAGACGAAGTTCGCGATGTTGCGTGTCCCGTTACGTGTCCCGGTAACATCATTCACTACCGTGGGGTGCGTCTCGAGAAGCCAAACGACGACCTCGGTCCTTTGAGCGACTGACAGCCCGCCAAGCTTGAAGGTCTGCTCTATCACTTGCTTCGCCTTCCTCTTGAGCTCGTTCCGAGTTTGTGATGCGCAAGTCCAGACCTGGAAAGGATCAGAGCCTCCGACTGTAGTGGATTACAATGAGTGTGGGCTCACCACGGCGTAGGTGTTCGCTCTCAACACGGCTCGTTCCGGGTCCTCATCATCATCCGAGCTCGCGCCGCGACCCGCTTTCTTCTTGTCTTTCTTCGGGCCTTCCAGCAGCCGGAACGCGGCCTTGATGTCGGCAGCATGTTCGCCAGTCCCTCGTCTGTCATAAGCGTTGCGAACACTGTCACTGATTAGTACATCCCTCTTTGGCAGCCGTATGGACGCGACTGAAGCCTCCTTCGTCCACGCCGAATTTAGCGCAATGCGTAGTCGCAGACAGTTCTGCGCGGCCGAGACGAGAGTCCTAACTTTGACTGGTAAGTCGGTGACCTTGGCGCGACTTCTGCTGTCTCGTTCACCACCCGTCGAGTTGGTGAGAGCCGGCTTGGGTTTCGCCTTCGTCTCGGACACGAGCTGCACGTAGATGTGATGCTGATCGCCACTGATAAACCAAGAAAGATACTCACTATCACGTCACCCTCATCCTCCGACTCTTGAGACTCTACATCGTCAGCCTCGGCCTCGTCCCCACTCTCGCCCTCATCTTCATCCTCGACCTCATCTTCATCGATCTCATCCTCATCAACTTCGCTCTCATTCTTGCCTTCGCCATCGCTGACTCCGTCTTCTTCGAGCTCATGCTCACTGCTGACCGCGTCATCCTTGTCCGTTGCTCGGCCTTTGCCCTTGTCCTGTCGATGTGAAACCATGTTTCTCCGCTTGTGCACGGTACGAGATGGCTGCTTACCTTTCCACTCGCCGACAGCGCTTTCGGTTTGGCAGTACCATGGGGCGACTTGCCACCAGCAGACTTGGCAGTACCATGGGGCGACTTGCCACCGGCAGATTTGGCAGACTTAGGTATGGCGGACTTCAGCTCACTTCTCTTGCTACTACTGCCAGTGTCCCCACGGGCTTCACGCCGTCCTCTGACTACAGAATTAGTAGCTTAGCCAGTATTAATGTGGATTTATGAGAGAACTTACCTAGTATTCCCACAAAATCTTCCTCGGCGGGATCCAAGGACGTCTTGGGTCTTGCAAATTTACCGTACGCGGGTTTCGGTTTGGCTTCGTATAAACGCGACGAGCTAGTCAGTAAGGTGTACCGCGCCGACCATGATTACCGCGTACGTCGAGCAGCTTTACGCTGTTGAGTCGTGTGATCGTCCATCTCCACATCCTCCGGTGTGCCTTCACCCGCCTTATCCTGCTCGTCATCTTCCACCTCCTCGTCCTCCATCACGGCGCGCTTCTTCTTTTTTGCTTTTGGTAGCTCTTCATCAGTGGATGATTTGTTTTCTTCGTCCATCATCTTCGACACATTCTTCCGTACCTCTACCACGCCACGTCAGCAATACCAACTTTTAGGTTCATTGCAGCACGGGGTCACTCACCAGTGCGTTTCTCCTTCGTCATCTCCTGTGTTTTCTTCTTAGCTACCGCCTCGCTCGCCTTGCGTTTTGCGGGCTGAGTGTTTTTCTTGGAGCCGCCTGCGCCCTGGCTCTTGGTCGATCTAGTGGTCCTCGGGTTCTCGGAAGCTTGTTCGGCTGCGTCCGACCGGGTGACCCGCTTGCCCATACCTGCACACGAAGGGAGGGGAGACAGGAGATAGACTGTGGTGATGAGAAAGAAAAAGACACACCGTGGATGCTTACCAGCCGAGACGGTGTGAACTTCAGCGATCGACGTCCGTGATGCTCACAGAGCCCGAGCGCTATTAACCATGGGAAAGCGCTCATAATATTCGTCAAAACGCCTCGGTTGAGTCAAGGCGACTGAAGCTACATAGGTACATCAAATAAAAGTGGTGTTAGCAGCCTAACCGTCACGCTGCTCTCAATATTTGCATAAATGCCCATAGTATTGCCAAGCCCCCTTTCTCCTCGTACATCAGTACGTATCCGTACACTGTCCACAGCCATAAATCCAACCTACTGCCTGTTTATCCCGCATCGTCGAATCGACACTCTACTCTGGACGGATTGCGCACGTCGTGGTACGAGCGTAGATTGTCAGGGCGTGCCTGTCTCGCGCCGCACAAATCTGCCCAGGTGCAGCCCGTTCTTCTCTGCTGGGAGACGAAGTGCAAATCCACTCACGCAGGCGCACGGTTTGTACGAATTCGAAAATTCGTTCGCTCTCTTCGGCCGGAGCCGACCGAGGATGGCAAAGACAACATATTCGAACGTCGTAGACTGCGGTAAGTCTTCCGTGGTGTTCATTCCCGTACGTCAGAGGGAGCGTCATCGACAGGCGACATCGACAGGCGAGCAAGCGCGGTGCGCCCGGACTCCTAGAGGGCGGAGGCGGTGGGCTGTGGTCTTTCGGGCTCGTGGAGGGCTCATGGAAGGCGTGGCGGCGCTCGCAGATGGTGGGGTTGGCGGCCTGCAGCCAACAAGCGGGGCACTCACCTGCTTGGTGGCCCTACTGGCCGTAACCGGGTGTACCCTCGTGCCCTCGTTGCCTCTAACTTCCCGTTAGCTCTAGCAACGGCTTTCCCGCGTCGCTGGAGCTCGCTGTTGCCGACCAGTACTTACACATACGACTGATGCTGGCGAGTGGCGGAGAGTGGCGGGTAGGGTTCGCGCCACAAAAAGGTGACTCGTACCCGTACCCGCAAACCGCGCGGGTTCCGCTGACCCGTGCTCTGCACTAGCACTGTAGACGAGTGCACGATGGATGATTCTTGTGCCTGCGCACCGTCTGAAGCCGCCTCCTGGTTTCATCGACGTGGCGCCGTCCCTGTGCGTTCGGCTTAGGGAGACATGGTCAGTCTTCGCTGTGTTGCATGTATTCGGTCAACACGTACCCCGAGCATCGTGCTTGACCTGCCTCGCCATCGGTACACCTCGTAGCTGGGTCGTCTTGCCTTGCTGCCGCAGTGGCAATGCTCCCATTTCCCGTTTACCCAGGGCGCCAGCACTGGAGCGCGGGTTGGGGACGGTGTACAGCGAGTTGCGCTGCATGTTGCATAGCGCGACTCGGTACTTGCACGAGTGTATGTAGGATGTCCATGGCTTTAGCTCCAAATGGTTAGCTAGCTGGATGTAGCGGATACGGCGGTCAGGGTCTCTGCTCCAGCCGTTTTGGGGCACGTCAGACCACTTGTAGGGCTCGAGTACGACTCGTGGGTACGCTCTGGTGGCATTATGAGACAGTGCAAGCGGTTGGAGGAGGATGCACGGGTGCGAGAGCAAGTCGGGGGCGGAGCTTCACAGCGGACTCGACTCGATAAAGGGCGATATGCTCACCAAAGTAAAGATGTGGCCCTGCTCGATTGGAAAAGTGCGGGAATCGGCTATGGACTCGCCTCGGTCGTGTACACCGGCGTGTGCAGGCGGCGTGATCAGGAACGGCTGGGCGAGTGCGCGAGGAGGGCAACGAGACATCGGAAGGACGAACTCTCTCGCCCGCTCTCGCCCACTCCCTGGTCGCCATCCTCGCTCGCAAGTCCATGCACCTCCCTGTCTGCATGTTCTCCTTCTCGCCTGCCTGCCTGCTGCCCACCATCTCAGAGCCCTCGCACGCCCACTGGCTGTCCATCGGGCCGAGTTCACCGTCGATGTTGGCGGTGAACCGCGGATACGATACCGTCGGTCTCGCGTCCTCGCGCCCGGGCTTGTTGCCCTGCCCGCACCCGTGCCCGTGGTTCACTCGGAGCCGGGCAACTGTCCTGTGTGCTCGTCAACAACGCTGTGCGCGTCGCGCTTGCACGCTTTGTGTTGCCGCGCCCCGGTGCGCGCGGTCTATTTGCGCTTGCTCGCGCCCGTGCCAGTGCCGTCGACCTTGCCTACACCCTCGCCCGCCGTCCATTCGCAGGCTGCGTTTGCACGCAGGACATTTGCCCTGCGTGCTCGCTGTCGCCGTGTGTGTCGCATTGCCGCGCCCGGCCACCGACTCGTCCTCGCTCGCCCGCCGTTCTCCTCTGGCCCTCGACAGTCTTATGCGCACGTGGCCTGTTCATCGGCCGTCTCTGCGTGCTGGGCATTCGCCCAGCGCGCTGGCCGTCGGTGTGTGTGCTGTCGTCGTGTGTTGTACACGGTGCCGCCTAGCCCCACCTATTCGTCCGCGTGCGGTCAGTTTGCTGGCTGCGTTTTCACGCAGGGCGTTCAACCTGCGTGCTCACCGTCAGTGTGTCATGCTGCGTAACAACGCCCGCCCGCCCGCTCGACCACCCGCTCGTCTGTCCTCTCTCATGCCCGCCCCCTCGTCTACTCGCCCTTCCGCCTTCCCGTCCGTTCGCTCGCGTGCTTGTCTTCCCACCTGCGTGTGCGTTCACCGGCCGTGTCTGCGTGCTGGGCAATAGCCCAGCACACTCGTGGTCACGGTGTGTTTTGTCGTCCGCCCGCTCGCTCTCCCGTCCCTCGTCCACTCGTTTGCTCGTCAGTTCACTTATCTGAGGCTTTGCTCGCCCACTCACCGCTGGCCCTGCCGACCCACCGACTCGTCCTCGCTCGCCCGCCGTTCTCCTCTGGCCCTCGACAGTCTTATGCGCACGTGGCCTGTTCATCGGCCGTCTCTGCGTGCTGGGCATTCGCCCAGCGCGCTGGCCGTCGGTGTGTGTGCTGTCGTCGTGTGTTGTACACGGTGCCGCCTATCCCCACCTATTCGTCCGCGTGCGGTCAGTTTGCTGGCTGCGTTTTCACGCAGGGCGTTCAACCTGCGTGCTCACCGTCAGTGTGTCATGCTGCGTAACAACGCCCGCCCGCCCGCTCGACCACCCGCTCGTCTGTCCTCTCTCATGCCCGCCCCCTCGTCTACTCGCCCTTCCGCCTTCCCGTCCGTTCGCTCGCGTGCTTGTCTTCCCACCTGCGTGTGCGTTCACCGGCCGTGTCTGCGTGCTGGGCAATAGCCCAGCACACTCGTGGTCACGGTGTGTTTTGTCGTCCGCCCGCTCGCTCTCCCGTCCCTCGTCCACTCGTTTGCTCGTCAGTTCACTTATCTGAGGCTTTGCTCGCCCACTCACCGCTAGCCCTGCCGACGCCCACCCGCCTGTTCGTGGGCCCGCTCGCTCGCCTTCACACCCGCCTTTGGCCCCGCTTAACCCTCCTAACCAAGGTCATACTGCGTTTGTCAGCCCGTATGATGGGTTTGTCGTTATTGCCGAAGGACTCGTTGAGTGCGCGGCTTGCCATCGTCCTCGTTACCAGTGAGGGCAGTACATACGTAGCGCAGAGTGTTACCAGCGGGTGAAAGCAACCGAAGCGTGCGTCCTGCGTGCGTCGTACCAGCGAACAGTTTCCCGCGTCGGAGTTTCCCGAGACAGGCGCTTAGGACTTCTACTATCGCAAGTCCTAAGTAACAGCTAACAGCGACCACACTCCTTAGAGCTCGTCCGCTCCCCGACCAGAGCCCAGTATCCCGAGCCCACGCCCCACGGACAGTCCTGCGCAACTGGTGTGCACACGACACCCGCCCATACAATCGGCGTGGCGACTGATCGACGTCCGGTCGGTGAGCGTGCTCAGCCACGATCCTTCAAGTTCGTGGCTATCTCACTGGGCACACGCAGAGCGTGCAGGTGCAAGTGTCTCCCCCGGTCTCTGGACACAATCGTACCGGTCAAGTGACGTGAGTGCTGGCCACCGTCCGGTATGTTATCTGTGCAGTCCTTGCGGTCGGGACTCACCTTTCATCCCGGGCATGGCTGGACATCACGATGCACTATCAACGTCGCATCCCGGTCGTAGCATGACCGGACTTACCTGGTCACACATCTTGCCCGCCCGCTCACGCGTCCTGCCCACAAACTCTCGCCCGAATGCTAGCTCGATCTCGTGCTAGATTCGGCGAGTACACCGGCGGCGCAAACTCCGTCACCCGTCATGTCAACGGCAGCACCGTCAGCCCCGGCAACCTTACCGTCAGGCCCGAGCTGGCTCCCTTGCCGACTCGGTCACCCGCTCTCGCCCTCGCCCTCTTGCTCACCCGCACACCTGTCTCGCTCGCACGCCGTTCCGCTTACCCGCCGTCTCACCTGCCCATCATCTCGCTCGCCCTGTCATCGCTCTCGCCCGTCGACGTCACCCTAACACCATCGCACGCACCCGCCGTCTCGCAGGCCGGCCTCATAGGCCTGTCATCTCGCAGGCCTGTCATCTCGCAGGCCTGTCATCTCGCAGGCCTGTCATCTCGCAGGCCTGTCATCTCGCAGGCCCGTCATCTCAATGTCCCGCCCGCCGTCTCTCTCGCCCATCGTCTCGCTGACTTTGCATCTTATACTCCTGTGTCCGCCGCCATCTCGCCCGCATGTTGTCTCGCCCGCGTGCCGTCTCGCCCGCGTGCCGTCTCGCCCGCGTGCCGTCTCGCCCGCGCCCTTCTGCATCCCGTACAATACACTGACTCTACCGACGTGCCAGAGACGCCCGCACGCCGCACCAGTAACTCGACATTCTCCCCATAGATAGTACTTTGTCTACATAGGGCTCGGCCCTCGCGGACAATAAAGGGAATTTAATGAGAAAAACATCAATAGCGAGAGTGTCCTACCGTGCGTTAATGACTCACTTCTGTATGCAAGAAGCTCGAAGGTCGTTGTGTTTGTAAGAACATACAACAATATATTGAATACGGCGAACGAAGATACATGACTTACAACAGCTTCGATAACAAGGACAGCAGTGATGATAGCGATAGGTCGAGAACAACGAAGAGTATCTATGGGACGACTACGTTATCGTACACCGCGACAAACGTACCACAGGCGATCGAGAGAGCTAGAGATGCGACATGACCTATTCGTACACACCTCGAGATGACAATACAACAGGCGAGGCGATGGAAGATGAGACAATGACGACGGGGACGGCATACAGCACACGCCAGTCAAAGGCATGAGAGAGATGGGAAAGACTGGATGGATCGTCGAGCATACGAGCTCACCCGCGGGAGGTACTCGGTCCATGGGGAGCACGATCGTCGATGCTGTCCGAGTCTACATCGCTGTCAGACTCAGGCTCCTCCTCACGCTTGCGTTTGAGAAAATTGGCGCGCATACGGACAACGCGAGCCATGAGGTCTTCCGCGTTCGTGTCGCGTCCCCGGGGCCCGGGCTTGCCGCCTTGCAACACGACTGTGTCTTGCCCGACGATGTGCGAGTTATCGCAGAGGCGGTCACAAGCAGTGCCGTAGGCGCCATCCTTGATCTCGTCAACGATGCGGGAAATGGACTCCGCAAAGCTGGTGGCTTCCTTGGGCGGCTTGAGGAGGAGCTCCATGTACTGGTAGAGTTCTTCGTAACGCTTTGTGCCTTCCTCTTTGCTGAGCTTCGCCACGGCTTCATCAATGAGTTTCTCGTTGTCATCGATCAACAGTTGGCTCGCTAGGATGGCGAGTTTGTCCTTGTAGCTTTGCTCAACCTTGCGCAGGAAGACGTCGACCTGCAGCTGCTGTGCAGGACCGTACGACTCCAGGATAGGCTTGTTGGACGTGTCAGTGAACGTTAACCCACAACAGAACACGAAGACTTACGATTGCGAGGCCCCTGGCGATCCACTCGCTCATCTCCCACTTTGCTTTCACACCAGCCCTGAAGGTCTCCAGTTCGCCAAGGGGGATGTGAAACCACCAGACGCGCACAGCGCCGAAGAACACATGGTCGTGCGCGCGCCACGGACCTGCGCCTTGTATCAACTCTGGGTAGATCTTCAACATCTCCTCGTAGTTGGCGTTATCGAGGCCAAGCTTGTCGAGATAAAAATCACCCATCGCCGGCGATGCCCACTTCGCTCTCTGAGAACGGCCCGGCTGCAGCTCCTCGATGTAGAAGCAGGAGAGCGAAATAAGCTTCAGCGGTTCTTCGTCGTCCGCGGCCTCTCCCCTCGCCTCCCGCGTGGCTTGCCGCAAGCGTAGGATGGCAAGGAGCCGGTCCGCCATCTCCACGAGCTGTACGTCCGCTCGATTGAGTGGGTTGCACGATGATTAGATACAGGTCCTTACCTTATTGAGCACCCCTTCCGCAGACTTGTCCGTGTACTTCGGCTGAGACAACGCCGTCTCGTCCAGAGAGGTGATGATCAGTTCGCGGCCGACTTTGAGTGCCTGGACGGCATCGGCGATCCTCTTCTGGCCTCCGTTTCCACGCACAGAAGCGTATTCCGCAGTATCGTCAGCTATTCTAAGCAACCGGGATATCCACTCCTTCGGAGTGAAGTGCGTGATAAACCGCTCGTGAAGCATCAACTTGTTCAACCCTATGAGGCGTTCGTGTAGGTGCAATGGCGACATCGTAGTTAATTCGCTCGTCTCTGGATCATAATCAAACCTATGATCTCGAGGTTCAGTACCACTGCTTGAATCTGTACAGGAAACGACAACTCACTGGTAACGATTCAGATCGTCGTGTTCCTGAAGCCACTTCTGCAATTCCTTCCACTCTTGCCTGGTGAAGTTGGGGACCTTCTGCGCAGCGTAATAGTACTGATTAGAATTGCACAGGCATCTACACTGCAAGCAGCACTTACGATCTCGCCTTTGACGTAGGGAAGGTCGCTTTGGCGGTTCCCGAACGCCTTGCGAACCACGTCCGGGTACTGTTCCTCGTTGTCGGTCTGCTCGATAGCTAATCGCAGGTGTAAGTCGATCGTCAGTGGATCGCGTAGGTACATCACTTGGATTAGAACGTTATACGTACCTGGCTCCTGTTTGTCTGGGTTGGACTTGTCTCGATTGGTTTGGCTAATCTCTGACGATTTGATGCCGCGTTAACGAGCGCGCTGCACAGATAATAATACTCACCTGGCTCCGGAGTGTTCGCTTTGTTGACGACGCTAGAGTTCAAGTAACTACCCCCCCTCAAGCCGCTGTTGACATTGACACGATACTGAGGAGCGCCCGGAGGGGGTGAGCGAAGGGACTGAGGCACAGAGCGAGAGCGAATAAAGGAGGTGGAAGACATCTTCCTTCAGAACGGGCACTGAGAGTACGGACTCTCTGAAGAACTCATGGGGCCGGCCGCCACTAAGCCAAGGGAGCTATGTATGTCGTCAAGTGACCGGGCCAATTAGCAAGCAACGCCGGCATAGCCCCGGCCTCCCCTCAGGGTCCGCAAAGAACCCGTCCCCCCTACTGTATACGTTCTTGGATTTCTCACTGTGCCAACTGCCAGTGTCCAGTCTCTCGCCGATAGGCTCTTTCCGACTTGAACTACTCACGCTCGCGATCTCCTACTACCAGAAGACACAGCTTCAACGGATCGGATCCAAATCGGATACGTCCGTCGTATTAACTCGGCACAGGCCGCGTTATATGATATGTGCCAATGTGGTGCCTGTGGCGTGAGATCTCACGCCACAGCTCGCGAGCTATGTGTAAGTATGCAGCGTAGCTTTGAAGTCTGGGGCGAGAAACAGAGACAGAAGTAAAGTACGCACCACACAACAACCGATAATGTCAAGCGTATGCAATCAATGCTGTCGCGTTGTGATCTACAAGAAAAGTCAAACAGGTCAGTCCAGCATCATGCAGGTAGGGGAAAGGTCGAATGTTACCAACTTGCCCTAGCGCTGCTGAACCGACGTACGTGAAGGTTGAGAGAAACGAGGAACGCACCGCAAACCGCGCTTAAATGGCGCGGGTAAACGCCCTACAGTAACGTAATGACAGTTGAAGGATGGGTGCAATTTATGCGATGATTTTAGGACCCTCCTTTCGCCTCGTCGCTTTTCTTTCCGCCCTTCATTCCCAGTGCGTAGTATTCCTCCGCTGCGTCTTTTGAATTCTGAGATTAATTTATGGAGTAGGTATGGTGAGGCGAAAGCGCACCTTCGATGAGCTGCTCGGCAATACTTGCGGCGCTTGTCACCAGCCATTCCGAACGACGCAGGGCCTCTGCGCTCACCAAACCATGAGCCAGAAATGCTCCTGGTACAAAAAAGGCAAACTAAAGGCAATTTTTACGGTCGACGACCATCAGGAAATGTTGGATGACAATGTAACAATCGAACACACCCGGTAAGCACCCAGAATTCCCTTCGGGCCTTGCAAAATTACATTCAGACACGTATTCAGATCCACCGAACGTTCGGGTACTCCTAACACACACGATTCAATCCATGAGTTCGCTGGCGGTTCAAGTCATTCACGCGGACAAGACGAAGACGAAGACGTTCAAGACGACGACGAAGACAGTGAAGTATCTTCACTGTATGAGTTCATCGAGGTGTGCGCACCTCCCAAGCCGCCCGGTGATCCAGGAGGGGACGAAGGCGACGGAAATAGAGGTAGGGACACCGCAGGGCCCTCGACGGGATCAACTACTAGACGAACCGCGCTTTCACTTGACGACGATGACGACGAGAGAGTGGTGGATGAAGACAAAGAAGCAGGTGAAGTGACTCACGTCGACGCGGAGGTGCGCAGGAAATGGCTAAAGGGTAGGGAGGGAGGATCATCAGGTACGTAGTAGTGTTATTCCTAGAAATAAGGAGAAGTATTAACTGTAATCGCAGCTAGTGGAGCATCCGCTGAGCGTGCAGAGCACAGGCCTGTTAGCGAAGATGTAGAAGAAAAGCAAGACGATGAACGTACCGAACAATCGGAGAACCCTTGGGAGCCGTTCGAGTCCGAGATGGACTGGCGGTTCGCGTCTTGGGCAATCCAGGAAGGACTGACCCTTGGCTCCATTGACAGAGCGTTGGAAATCCCGGGCGTGAGTACTCTCAATATCTGAGTAATATCCGCTGACACACCTTAGCTGCGAGAGAAACTCGGCCTGTCATATCCCAACAGCCGAGCTCTCCTTCAGCGCGTGGACTCGCTGCCCGAGAGGGCGGAGTGGATGGAACGAATCCTCTCGTTCAAGGACCGCCCGAACGAGAGGCATCTCCTCCAGTTCCGCGACATCATCCAAGCTATACGTACATTACTAGGCAACCCAGAGCACGCCGATCAAATCGTGTATCGACCGCGACGCATTTTCTCGGACGCGTCTAGGAAGCACCGGGTCTACAACGAGATGTGGACCGGGCGTTGGTGGCACGCAGTCCAGGTGAGTACATCCGCATCAGTACGCATCATTCTTTTGCTGATTGAATGAACAGAGTCTCTTACCTGTAGGCTCGGCTGTAGCTCCAGTAATTATCGCAACGGACAAAACTCAGCTAACACAATTTCGGGCAACAAAGCAGCTTACCCGGTCTACATGACGCTCGGGAATATTCCGCGTGCTCTGAGGCGCAAGCCGTCAGAGCACGCGTGTATCCTCATTGGCTATCTTTCGGTCGACAAGATCAGCTCAGAAGGTATCACGCAGCGCAAGCAACGCGCTCTCGGCCAGCAATTATTCCACGCGTCGGTACGCGCTATCTTGGAGCCGCTGGTCAAGGCGGGAAAGGAAGGCATCGACGTTATCTCTGGTAATGGCGAGGTTCGTCGAGTCCACCCCATCCTCGCAGCCTACGTTGCGGATTACCCGAGCAGTGCCTGGTCACTTGCGCTAAGTCTGGGACTTGCCCCAAGTGCCAGGTACCCGAGGAACTACTCGAATCCGCAAAGCCTGGTACGCCGCGCTCTTCACTCTGGACATTAGATGTCCTTCGCCGCGCCAGCGAGAAAACGCAAGGCAACACGAGCTCGAACGCGTACACTCGAGCGTGTCAAGACCTCAACGTTTCCGGCTATGTCGTGCGCCCATTCTGGCGCGATCTTCCGTATACCGAAATTCACTCGTGCATAACCCCTGACGTACTCCATCAATTGTACCAGGGCGTTTTCAAACATATCATTGAATGGTGCACCGAACTCGTCGACGAGCACGAGCTCGATCGGCACATCCGCTGCCTTCCGCCCGCGTTCGGCACTCGCCACTTCAAGAACGGGATTTCCTCCCTATCTCAGGTCTCAGGTACCGAGCGCAAGCACATGGCGAGGATACTCCTCGCGTGTCTTGTAGGCAAGATACCCAACAAAGCCATTCTCGCATTCAGGTCTATCCTCGATTTCGTCTATCTCGCGCAATATACAACTCATGATGACAAGACGCTCCAGTACATGGATGACTCACTTAAGACATTCCATCGCAACAAACACGTCCTGGTCGACCTCGGAGTGCGTGAGCACCTCAACATTCCGAAGTTTCACTCCTTACTACATTACACTGACTCGATCCGACTCTTGGGACCACCGATAACTACAATACGGAGGCCTTTGAGCGCCTTCACATCGATTACGCCAAGAAAGGATGGAGGGCCTCTAACCATCGCGATGCGCGTCCGCAGATGGTTCGCTGGCTGGCACGACAAGAGAAGATGGTCGTGCTCAGCTCTACCATCCGGCGCTGGCTCAGGAGTACCGGTCGCGAACGAAGGGATGACGATCCTGATCGCGATGCAGACAACATAGACAATTCAGACCGAGATATAATACCAGGCCCGAGATCGCGTCGTAATGGTCGAATCAAGTTGGCGAAGTACCCCTCTGCACCCCTCCAGGCTCTCCCGTCCATCGTCGACAAACACCATTCCCCCGGCTTCATCGACGCCCTCGCCCAGTATATCTACACGCTGAAGAACGGACGACCTTTGACCTCCTCTCAACTCAAGAACGCCATCCACCGCATGCCCTTCCAACGTCTCGATGTATTCTACGGCTTCAAGTTTATGCCCGAACCTTTGACCGACGACACGCCGCAGGACACCGACGCGGTGAAAGCGAAGCCCGCCCAGGCTGGACAAGCCGCGCGTTTCGATACGGTCGTTGTGCTGCAGGGAGAAGACGCCGAAGCTACCGGCTTGCAAGGTACGTACACTTTTCTACATGCTTCTTTCGGTGTCGTCACTAAGTGCTCGGTCTACAGGTACCAGGATCGGACGCGTTAAAATTATATTCAAGCTACCTCGCGAGATCAAAGACCCTCGAACACTACAGCCGCTGCAAGCTCCGTCTGAGTGGGCTAGCCAAGGGCCCCTTGCGTACGTTGAATGGTTCTCTAAATTACCTACTCAAGCCGACCCCGTACATATGATGTACCCTGTTCACAAACCACCCCTTCGCGCGAACGGCCAGCCCGTCGGTGAGGTCATTCCCTTGTCACTCATTCGACAATCTTGTCAGCTTGCTCCACGTCCCCCTGGATCTGCACGCACGAACTTACTACCTGATGACTGGGATACAAATACCGTACTAGACAAGGCTACCAAGTTTTGGGTTAACAACTGGACATCTAAGTACGCTTACCAGACACTGTGGTAGAGTACTGTCATTACTACGAACTTAGCCATGTTTGATCACCGTTTGGACCTCACACCAGTATATAAACAGCTCTTCACGGCTTCTAAGCACAGCTTCATTTCTCTTCAAACTGTACTTATCACCGTACTTCGAACCACATAACAATCCCCCGGGTCTATCTCCATCGGCGTTCTCCGAGATGGGCGCTCCGAACTTCAGTGCTCGTCAACAAACCGCCGCAGACCGCCTCTGCTACCTCGTTCAGGCTTGCCTTCTCGCCTTGCCTCCTCCAACTACCCATCTACATGCTTGATCGGCTGCCTGGTGTCTTCTCTGCTGACCTATGCTCTCGGCTGCTTTCTTTCTCTCTTGGTAGTCCAATTCTCGCCCTACCTGTCGTCGACCGCGTGCTCAGCCCGTCGCTTGCATTCGCTCAGGCCTGCCTTCTTGCCTGGCCACCTCCAATTGCCCGTCTACATCCTTGCTCGACTACCTGCCATCGCTTCTGATGAACTGCCCTCTCCGCCGCCTTCTTTCTCGCTCGCCTGTCTACTACCCACCGTCCCAGTCGTCCGACCGCCCGCTCAGCCGGCAGCTTACTCTCTCGCCTCTGCTCGGTTCCTCGCCTGCCGGCGTTGGATCTTTCTGCTCTATTAGTCGTCATCCTGCCCGTCTGCGTCACTGCCCGTCAGCTGGCTTTCCATCCCTTTCACTTGCGTTGTGGTACGTCCGTTCACTTCTTGCGTGTGTGCATCCCCTAACGCCCGGCCACTTAGCCATTGAGCCTCCTACTCAGCAGTCCTCCCACCAACTCGTGCAAATGGGATGAACCACGAGGCCGGCCAGGACTGCTAACCGGTACGAACCGTCTCACATAACATAGGTCCGATGCCGAGCAACCAGCGGGTCATTCTATGACGACACCACTACGACCGCGCAGAATGGGTGAATTTGATGAGGATAGCGCGAAGCACGAAGAGGGACGGGTACAGTGAGGGCGAGACCAGCGGGCATGAAGGCTCAAAAGTTGCAGGTACGTCCGCGCTTGCTGTACCTACTACGACTCGCGGCTTCGCTTTACAGTCATCGTCATCGGCCATCGCCCAACCGTCCTTGCTCAAGTTACGCAGGCCAAGTTACGCAGGACTGCCTTCGAACTTGAGCCAAATTCTTGAGCAGTTCTTGTGCCGCCCTTCCAACAAGTCGCCGTAAGGACGCTGCCTGCTCTTCCATCGCTCCTTCCTCGGCCCTCTCGCTCGTCCCTCGCGTCGCTCGCCCATCCTAATGCTCACCAGTTCTCTCGCTCGTCCGCATTCCCATGCATTCGCCACCAACTCTCCCAAGCTCATCCGCTAGCTTGCGAAGCGCGTGGCTCAAGCCGCTGCCTCCGCCAACGTCAACATCAACAGTTCCGCAAACCCAAGTGCGACTGACCAAGGTCAGGCAACGGCATCACGGACACACAAAGCTGCACCTCTGACATGTCCCGACCTCGCGCGCCCACTCATCGTGCAATGTACGGTGAGCTCGCTAGTCGACGTACACCCTGCCGATGATCAGAATGGCGCACACGGCGGAACCGCATCCTGGATGGGCACTGGGTGAACCCGACGGACGAGTACAACATGCGCTGGGTGAGCACGGCCGCTAATACTCCCCAGGCACAGCACCCGTGTCCATGGAACGCGGGATCTGTGTTCGACGGCGCGCTGGAGGACGGTGAGGCGCACGCGGACGGCGGGGAGCTCGCGCACCCGCGCCCGAAGACGATCGCTGCATTGCGTCCGCCGACGTACTTTATCTCCAGCATGACGTACCAAGCGTACGTGAAGCACTTCCGGGACATGTCTTCCCCGCGATGCAGAACGTTGTGCAGCGACTCGCGGCGGAGTGCGCGGCCGACGGGAAGGACGCGGTGGAGGTCGCACGGGGTATGTCGATGGACGACGTCGCCGTGGTGCTCAGGGACGAGGCAGTGTGGCGGACGGGCGTGGACTGGCTCGAATGGCGCGCGAATCAGCAGGAGCATGATCGTAGGCGACGGAGGGAGAAGGACGACGATGCGGAGTCTACGTCGTCCCGATCGAGCGGTTCGCATATGACAAGTCCCGGATTGTCGACCACGACGCTGCGAACGACGCCGTCGCCCCCACCGAGTAGCGTCAAGGACGACGACGCGATGTCGTCCTCCCCTGTGTCGGCCATCCCGCCTGCGCTGGAGTCGAGCCCGATTCTCAAGTCCCCGCAGCTGATGCACCCCATTCCGTATGTTCCCGCGAAGGTGTCCCATCTCCCAGAGTATAGCATCGGCACGTTCCGATCAGTACGTTTCTTTGTTCTTGGTGCGAGAGTATTACTGACCGCACCGTCTAGTCGTGGGCGAATGCTTGCGCTCCGCTGTACCAGTGCTATCGCTCCATCTGCCAACGACGCGTCATGCAGATGAATGCTGCGGCCAACGCTGCAGCCGTCCAGGACCAGACCGCCACGTCCGACGTCACGCCCGCTGTGCAGATTCCTCAGGTGCAAGTGGAGATCGTGCGTGCGGAGGAAGAGGAAGAAGAGGACGATGACGATGACGACGACGACGATGTGGAGGAGAGCGTGTCCGAGCTGGACATGTCGGAGTATGAGGTAGTCCTCCGTGGGGTGAACCCACGCAAGCGGTCCTCGCAGGAGCTCGACGTCGATGCGTACTCAGACACGAAGCCGGACGCTGCGCGGCGGGGCGGCTTGCCGCCGAAGCGTGCACGGACGGATGGATCGTACTCACCATCGATGGTCCCGATGACGCCGTCCCCCGGCCGGTTACGCAAACGCCCGTTGGAGGAGCTCGAGGAGGACAGCGAGGCCACGCAGGGCAACGGCGAGCACGAGCTACGGTGAGTGCTCTCATATCGGCTTCCTCTACTTACTGTGCACCTGATTCACTTTCCTCCATTGTGCTAGATTCCATTGCGATTGCGGGGAACGTAAACTTGGGACCGTGCGGTAGCTACAACGCGCATGTGACGGCCTGTCGTCCGAATTCATTCCACTGCGCACGGCGATGTTCTCTGCCTCGAGACTCCGAGTGCCGCAACCGTCCCCCGCACATCCTACCCGCTCGTTACCAGCAGCTCACCCACGGTTCCATTCGATCTTGCTACACCGCCCCGGCATCAATTCGCAACTATCCCGCCCACTCTCGTCACCTAACACGAGCGTACTCCGTCAGAAGACGCACATTGCAATTCGTCGAATATGACTATGCCGGGAGCGAGCTGTTTGTTCTCGATGGTGCGTTCTTTGATCTGTGAGCATAGAGGCTACGATTTACGGTCTTGATGTCAGGTGAAGCATTGTTGCAAGAGGTTCTGAACGACCCGTTACTTGCGGTGGAAGCACGTCTTTTCCGTATACACAGTTCCTCCGTTGGATCGATGATGACGAACGCGACGCGGCGGCCGTGCGAGACAAGAATACTGTCGCGATCTTGCGGATGGTCAAGGATACGTATCAGCAGCCCAACCTTTTCTCCTTCGCAGTCGATATCCTCGACATGTGTCTTGGCGCTATCGGCTTGTCGTCTGTGATCAGCGATCTGAACGCATCGTCCCCTGCGCGAGCGGACGTCGACCGGGCACTTGCTTTCAAGTTCGTCAAGCTGGTGAAGTCGTGCAACGACAGGCGGTGGAGAGGCGAGTATGAGGCAGGAACAGGCATACCTTTGTTGGCAACAACCTCAAGTGGACGCCCAGCTCTCGAGTCCCTAGCATATCCCCTCGACTCTACCCCTCGACGCCTCGACTCTGGAGATTTCAGCTCGAAGCCTCGCGGCTCTGGCGCCACCAACACAGCGCTGTCTCAGGTTCATCGATCTCAGCCTGAGCCCCTTCACCGCCCTCGCCAGTGACTCCGACGCCCCCTTCGTCCTCAGTCTCGCCCTGTCCACCCACTTCGCCGCCGTCAGAGCCGTCAGAGTCGCGCCGTCGGTGCTTCCTCCTCGACATCGAAGTCGACGCTCCTGCACCACGAGTCTTCCTCGATGGACTGGGTGGATTCTTCGCCGCCTGTGACGAGTCCTGTGTCTTCGCGCTCTTCGACGAGCTGGACGGCCTGCCCGCGGTCGATGTCGTGGTGGGTTGACTGCCCTTCTTTGCTGTGCTCGACGACGGCTTCGTCGCAGCCTTCGACATGCCGGCGGGCTCGTTGCTGGCGGAGGAGGCGGGTGTGGCTCCAGTGGTCGAGTGCTGGAATTGAGAGTGTGCTGGAGGAAACCCAGCGACGATCGAGGTCGAGAAGGTGAAAGAGTGACACCACTATGAACAGTCGTACTACACTTCGGTAGAGACTTAGTGATTTATGTACATGTTTTTGAAACTGATCTCATGCACCATCATCGCTTCAGCTCACTTCAGATGGACCTAATGGTCTCGGATTGCTCTCAAAGAGAACTTCATCTGTCTTAGACGAGCATAATCGGGCATTTCATACATCATAGTGAAGCAAAGTGTAGGAATGTTACGCGAAGTGAAGTGAAGTTGGCAAAAGTACAAATAAGAGAAATGGGTTTTTCCTGATGGGGGTGAGCAAGATTGGTATACAGCAGCTTGATATTTTCTTGACATCTATGCCTGCCCAGCAGATGCATCCCAGTCCATCTCCGCGGTAGTCCGGGCGACGCACACAAGACGGCACCCGACGCAGCCAAGCTGAAGCCTACCAGCGGCCCATTCCTCACCGCGCTGTAATATTCAGAGCGACGCCCACCAATACGCAAGATGGCGGGGCCCGTCCAAGGCGGCTGTCCTCCTTCAATAGGCCAGCCGACACGTTAGCCTCGGCGGCCGACGCCCATTTCATCAAAACATTGGTATCCGAGTACCCCGCAAATTGTTACAGCATTCACGTATTACTACTGATCCACCATACAAAAGTTGCACCTCGGCTCATGGATCATCATCCTATTGGCCGAGTCGTCGGCCGCCGTAGGCTACCGCGATGGTGTTCCACGAGACTGCGCGTCGGCCATAGGATGACTATGCGTGAGAAAGAGCTGCTTGGTGTGGTTCGAGCGCCGTATCACGGTACAGCGGTCGGCGCGAATCTGCAGCGTCTTCATGATCTCGTGCTGCATCTCGCCTGGCAGAGTTGCTGTGGCAAGGACAAACGGGACATGCGGCAAAAGGTAACGCAGTCGGTCGATGTTCTTGTAGTCTTGTCGAAATGACTTCCAGGTACTTATGCAGTGTGCCTCATCGAAGACGATGCTCATGATTCGCGAGGTGAACCCTTCGTCGTTCCACAGGTCCTCGAATCCCCCGCCTACCTTCATCAACTCCTCCGGGTTGACGACGATTGCGCGGTACTTGCCCTCGCGGATCTCCTAAGCAAATCAGTGAGTACCCTATAAATATGGCTATACGAACCATGACTCACACGAAAAACCTTCGGTGTTGCTGTCTCTGCCCTGACAGCAATCGCACGCACCCCGAATTTTGCCAATTCTTGCTCATTCTGAGTGCCGAGAATATTGAGCGGTGTCACGACGATTTGAATACCATCGGCACGGAAGAGAAGTGGCATCCAAAAGGTCAGTGTTTTCCCTGAACCTGTAGGTGCAATAGTGATGAGGTCCTTCTTGCGTTCGAGGATGACTTGTGTCGCGTGCGCTTGCCACCGACAGGGAAAACGACCGAGCTTCGCAAGGGTCGTCTCGCGAATCTGTTCAAGTGAGAGTATCCTTGACTGACTGGGTGCCATGATAGAGGGGCAGGGAGTCGAGGGGGTGGACTGGTAGTTTTCTTGTCGTACAGTAGGCCTGCGGCGCGTCGCGACGCGTCGCACCGTCGCACGTGCTCGCTCACGAAAATCGGAAAATGCTCATTAATCGTCCACCGAGAAATTGTCCGACGGCTGATGGGGTTACCATATGGAGGACGCCATCACCGGGCTCCGGGTGTTTGTATATGTTTTGTGCCAGCCGCCAGAGGGGGTAGAGGGGAATAAGATTGTGGAGTTTGAATTGGCTCGCGTGGTGCATGTGACTTGTATCAACTAGTACTTTTTTGGATACAGGACTTAAGGATCGAGAAAGAGCATCGTATTGGCGTACTCAGATTCATCCCTCTACCCCCGAAGGCGGATGGGGAGGAGCCTGGTCAAACCATCGAAATTCCTTACAGGCGTCTTTCACACGGAGTGCTCATGCTTGCCCTTCATCGCCTCCCCCGGCGGTCTCGCTGTGGTTGACGGTGTAATACGCTTCAATATGATGGTTAATGAGTCGAGTTTTTCCTGCGATCCATCCGTGTAGGGCCAATTCACCGTCACAGAGCACCCCGGATCGCCAGCAGAGAGCAAGAACGACTCCGTAAGAAGGCCCTAATCCGGTCGAAATTAAGTATCGGTGTACAAAATGTCAACACTACAGTTGGTATTCTAAGCGAAGCGAGGCACGAGCGTCGCGTAGAAGTGAGTCTACGCATGCAGGAGGAGATTTAGGCGTGCATCGCTCTCCTCTGCGCGCCCACTCGGACGACCGCTCTCGAAGGCTCCGTGGCTGCTACGCCCTTCGAATAGCTCTCGTTTTCTTTCACTAAGACTATACCACTTGTAGCTTACAGGAAGGGGACTATGGTACAACCTTCGCTCATCAATCCCGATGGCGACGAAGAGCCGGATTATGTGAGCAACGACCAAATGATTGTACCACTCACAAATGCGTGGAGGATGGTCAACACAGAGTCGTAGTCTCTGTCTCGCAAGCTCGTCCGACATGAGCATCCAGCTGAGCGAGCAGCGGTTGCCATTGTGGACTGTCCGACTCCGAGTCCTTCGACCGCCGCCCCGTCACCAGCGCTCTCGCTCACTGGTCGCCGGGCGGGACCAACCCGCTGAGTTTCTTTCATGCTGCACGCAACACGCTTACACTGGCTCGCGTCGGCACGAGCATCGCTAGCTCGTGTCATGCACACGCGAGTCAGGCTGGAGGCAACATGCTTACACTGGACGCAGTATGCTTCACTGGCTCGTGTCAGCACGAGCTCATAGCAGGCCATATAGGCATATGTTTGTACAAGATCCTTGTAGTGAGCATGGAGTGATCATACATAAACTCCAGTACTTACCTGCAGCCATTCTCATACATGAGCTACCACTCGCTCATGTATGAGCGAGGCGCCGTCATGTATGAATGAAGCGCCGTCGGTCGTTACCTGATATGGCAGCTACCCCGGGCGCCTGGCGCCTTCGTCCCCGGCGGGGCGGTACCACTGGCGGCTACCCCATATGGATGGACATCGGGGTCAGCGCATCTGAGATCAGGTACGATCTCGGATCCCCTGCCGCCCTGCCCTGCCCGCTGCGTGGCGTCGGTTTCGGCCAAACCCGGGAGCTCGCCACGAGCCGAGCGAGCGGCGAGCGCTTCCGCCCGCCGTTTACGACCTCCACTGGCACCACCCCGCGTCGGTCACCGACGTCGTTAGAGCACAGCGGGCACGACGACAGCGAGTAGCCGACACTGACATCGAGGTGAGCGCAGACGCACACGAGCGAGCGAGCTGACCGCAGCCACAGGACGCGGCGACGTGCAGTACGCTCGTCGACCGCGAGCGCGTAGGGCTAATGCCCCGCGTGAAAACGCAGCCGACGGATGGACGACGGGCACGGGTGCGAGCGCAAGCGGACGAGTGGACTGGTGGACTGGTGGATGGACGGGCAGGCGGACTGGCGGGCAGGAAGACGAATGGGCAGACCAGCGGGCAGGAAGACGGGCGGGCAGGAAGACGGGCGGGCAGGAAGACGGGCGGGTAGGAAGACGCACAGACGAGCCGAAAGTTGGGCAACCGAAGCGGACGGGTAGAAGAGCGAGTAGACAGGCAAGTGAACAGGCGACAGCACACGCCCACCGCGAGCGCGCCGGGCGAATGCCCGGCACGCAGACACAGCCGACGAATGCACACGCAGACGGGTGGGCAGGCGGTCAGATCGGCGCGCAGGCAGGTGAGCAGACGGACGAGCGAGAGGGCAGGCGGATGAGCGGGAGGGTAGGCGGACGAGCGGGAGGGCAAGCGGACGAGCGGGTGGGCGGTCCAGAACAGGTGGACAAGCAGACATGGAGGCGAGCGGGCAAGGAGGTGATTGGGTAGGCAAGGGCACCAGCAGGCGCGCCGGAAAGCGAGTGGATGGGCGAGCGAGAGGGCAGGCGGGCGAGAGGGAAAGCGAGCGGGAGAGAAAGCGAGCGGGCCCAGAGTGCGGATGCCATGAACACTACACGCACGACGACCGCGTGCGTGCCGGGCGAATGCCCAGCACGTAAGCACGGCCGACGAACGGAAGGCAGGCGTGTCAGTGAAGAGCGGGTGACCGCGACGGCGGGCAGAGCAGGGGCGCGCGCAACACGCAGCAATCGCAAACACACAGTGCGACTGCCTGCCCCTGCATGCAGACACGGCCGGCGTGTTCGTAGATATACCATCTGTAATGTAGTACGAATCTACTCTATAAAAATGAATTTGGTATATGTCGCGCTGGAACGCTCCTTATGATGACCGCCGAGCTTCAGAGAACCAGTACCGTATACTTAATAGCGTAGGCATCCCTACTGTACACGAGGACTTGGGGTTGTGTGTTGTACTACTGCATCCCATCTTATGTATTATATGCAACTGACCACATATATATTCCCTACGACATGCGTACACAGTGCGAAAACGCCCAGAAGGCGAGTCGCAGGTATGTTGCGGGCCTAAGTAGGACCATTAAACGTGTTCTGATTGGCCAGGAACAGCCCGAGCACATCGGGCATTCCTCATTCGGTGAGGCAGTAAACAGATACAAACGTTGAGTTTACGGGGGCGCCCGCAAGGCTCGCTTCACTTGCGCGTGCTACCGCACCTCTACTGTCTCGCTTTTACGCCTATACCTGCACGGAAGAGCACGATGGAGGCCCCAAGTCACATCCAGAAGTGAGTTAAACCAGGTAAGCACAACAACAATGTACTGGACATGCACGTACTAGACTGACCCTCTTGTTCTATCAGTGCTCGCATCCTTTCCTTGTCGCTCGCTGAATCGCTCGTCGACGAGTGCATCGGACCGTGACGGTGCATCAGTCAGCGTGTCCGAGTCGAATGGCACGTTGATCAGTACATCGGTGGGTGCGATCGACGGCACGTCAGCGGGTGCCATGAATGGCGACACGTCGACCAGCACGGGTACGTCAGCAGGTACAGTGTCTGTACAAAACAACACGAACGGCGTGTCAGCATGTACCACTGCGGGTATGAACGGCAGCGCATTCTAGCACGAATGGCGGTTCATCAACCAGCACGGCGAACGGTGCGTCAACGGGTACGAATGGCGGTATGGATACGAATGGCGGTACGGGTACGAATGGCGGTGCGTCAACGAATACGGTGAACTATGCACTGACCACTGTGGACGAACCATCAGCCGCCGTTGGCCGGGCGACGACAGGGTAGCCTGGCCGGTGCAACCACGAGCCCTTCGTGCTATGAGCCAACCGTTGATCAGGGCGGGCGAAACATGGGAGGTTGCCGATGACGGGTGGGAGGACAACATCCGGGAGGATGAAATGCGGGGATCCGTGGGTGACGGGCGGGAAAGCAATGGGTGGGACAGTGACGAGGTGGGCGATGGACAGGAGGATAACCCGGGTGCAGTCGATGTTGCCGCATAAGGTGACCTTGCCCGCCTGTTCTACAGTACTCAGTATAGTGTATTCTGCACGAGTATTGAATATCCATAGCCCCCACATTTGACATTTGTCGGGGCCTCAAACATACCACATCGGGAGGGCTGCCGCTTAACCCTTCGCCATGTATGTCTGCGTGTTTGCGGACCTCAATGGTGTCCAGGTGCTATGCTACACGAGAAATGGGTTTATACAGCACCGTACCTAGCCCGAGAAGGTATGTCATGGAGCACAACATACAGGCTGTGCATATCTAAATCTGGATACATGAACTAATCAGGCACGGAATGAAAACAATTGCTATATGCGGCACCCTGGAACACGTGAGATCTTACAGATCAAAAACCGCGATCGCACTCGCCCGATGGGCCCGCAACGGCACCCAAAGCGGAAGAGCGCGCGGCAGGACCTATTTAGGGTAGGCGCCGCTCTCCCCGGCGGGCAGTGGGTGACCCTAAAGGGCAGCTCCCCTTTCGGGTAGCAAGCGGGGCGCCCACTGCAGCCATTACAGCGCCTTTATATATGAAGGCTCGCTGTAAGCTCTGGAGTTTATGTATGACCCATTTGTGCTAAGCACAGGGATTCATACATGAGTCTGCCAGCATCTGGTGCTCATAGTAGCCAGCGAGTGTCACACACGAGTCAGGCTGGACGCAGCAGGCTTATACTGGCTCGCGTCAGCACAAGCTCATAGCCAGCGAGTGTCACACCGGGTCAGGCTGGACGCAGTATGCTTACACCGGCTCGTGTCAGCACGAGCTCATAGCCAGCGAGTGTCACACACGGGTCGGGCTGGACGCAGCACGCTTACACTGGCTCGTGTCGGCACGAGCATAACACGCTCGTGTCATTCACTGCACACGAGTCAGGAGCATGCAGCAGCAGCACACTTACACTGGCACTGGCTCGTGTCGGCACGAGCGTAACGAACTCGTGTCATCCACCGCACACGAGTCAGGCTGGACACACCGGGTTCGATGAGCACGACACGGCACTGCTCCTCCTAGGGTCAGCGGAGCGATGTTTGCTTCGCGGCGCCCATCCG